TTAATTTGTATTATTGAACCTGAAAAGTTAGTAAAGCTGTCAGATAAATGAGGTGCAGCAGAAGTATAAAGAGCACATCTAAATTGTATTTAAGTAGGGGAGATCGGGGGTGGTTGTAACACATTTCAGTTTCTCCAATCAGCAGTAAGTTAGAAGTCACCTGATTCAGTCTGCACATGCTCTCTTTAGTCCTTATTTCACATGGAAGCAGCGCCTGTGGCAGACAGAGACACTTTTAGGAGGAAAGAAATAATTCTGAGGTAAGAAAGTATCTTAGATTTTTTTTAGTTAAAGCATTGCCAGCTTTAGATAAACTCTTTAATCTTAAATCATGTTCATTGTGTGTCTGTGTAGAAAAGAAACGTTAGTGCTAATGTTTAGCTAGTTCAAGGCTGTGAGAAGAGAGTCTGGGTTTGCTGTAGAAAGAAAGTAAATGTTCAGTTGGATTTTAATTCCAGTCCCACACAGTAATCTTTATTTATTTGAGGCCTTCACTGCAGCACAAACACACACGGATGTTTAATTTAATTACTATGTTCCGTGCGATGACTGACAGTAACTAAGACCCGTCTTTATTTCATTACTGCTAAACCGTGAAGTTTCTGTCTGTGTTGCAGAGACAAAAGCAGTGGTGGATGAAGTATATGAAGTAACATATTTACTTAAGTAAAAGTACTAATACCTCACTGCAAAAGTACTGTGTTACAAGTAAAAGTTCTGCATTGAAAATGTTAAAAGAGCTTCAAGATACAGAACATTAACTAGGCTGTGATGATTTACTGTGTGTTGAAACGAATGGTTATTTTTACCATTAATTGACGAATAGGTGGTTTTTTTTGTCTGTGATATCAGAAATCTTAAAGCCCAAAGATGACACTGTGGAATAATCCAAATATTATTCGGTTTACCGAGACGCGATGAAGACGTTAGTTTGCTAAAACTTTGCTTTATCGAGGGTTTAATTTCTTTTCTTAATATTCTGCCGTTAGATTTAGTTTTATCTTTTCAATTATTGCTCCTGTAAGAGTTTTAAAAAGTTTAGTCAAAGTAGTCTTCTTTTACTTTTATTATTATTATTATTGTTGTTGTTATTATATATTATTATTATTATAGTGTGTGATATCAGAGTGAAAGTGGGTCAAACTCACTCATCAACATGTTATAATGAAAGTATTATTGTAAAATAGTATAATAAGATATTATAATGAAAACTTGTCCCAGCTGGAGGTGAAATAAACTCTGCGGACTGAACCACTGTGCGGCTCTGAGGGGGGAGGAGACATCATCTTCCAACACTTACAAACCCAGTGGATCACAGCACAGAACCACAGCTGGTAACTGTTTGTGTCCCACGTGCATCGATCAGGCAGCACAGGTTATATTTTAATGTTCTGATCAAACGTGTCGACCCGCGCTGATCACAGCACGCTGCTGGTTTGATCTCTCACAGCAGGAGGCTCGTCTGTTTGCACGTAGCTCACGAGCCTCAAGCGGCGGGCGGTGCGTTGCTGCGGCTACGTGCAGCTCCACACACACAAACACACGCACACACGCGCGGACGCACACGCACAGCGAGGACACTCTGAGGACATGGGGGGGGGTTATGTAATTAATGAAGGATTGATCTCCGCCTATAAGCTACACTACTACAGTACAAAGACATGCAGTACTACTATCAAACGTCACACTGATGGAAACTGCAAAAGCATGAGCAAAAACTGGTGAAATATACTACAATGCTCATAATACGTGATTTATGTTCCATTGAGGTAGTTCTTGTAGTATTTCCACAATATTCCTGTACTATTTTATTCTATATAATATGCTCAAACATTCCGGTGTGTGACATTGCACTGTAATGTTTGTAGGTCTACTGCTACTGTAGTACTGTGTGTACTTGTTTTCTCCTGCAGCTGATTGTTCTCCGCTGCAGAAACAACGTGCAGAATAACTCAGAGGCAGTATTACACAGGTACACGAGTACTGTGTGAGTACTGTTTGAGTAGTACAGTGGTCACGTACAGTGCGTCAGTTACGTTCAGTGTGTGTGTGGGTGCAGAAGACTCAGTAAACAACAGACCTCAGAGGGGTGTGTTCCTTCGCGGCTACGCTCCACCAATCAGCATCCAGCTCCTCCCCACGTGGTTCTCTTGTTTACTACTAGGCTAGAGAGCTACCGCGGGGGCTGCTGGGAAAACGCGGAGCGGACCGGCTGGCTCAGACCTCAGCAGAGAACATGGACAGTTAGTGATGCATAATTTGTTTCTATAAATCAATAAACTAATAAATTATAATAAATAATCATTTTAGCAACATCAGAATTATTTTTATTTTGTTCTCTGAAATCAAATCAAAGTGGCATTACAATTAAACTGTTACTGAATCACAGAGATAGTTCAGTCAATAGTTATCAGTCCACAGAGACTATAAGAAATGATCAGGAAGTTTTACTTTAAAATATTCATTAAATGGAGTTTGTTAATCCGTGCAGATGTTTTATTGAGGTGTTTAACAGGAGGATTATTTTCATTATCAATTAATCTGTCGATCATTTTCTACATTAATCGTTTGGTTCAAAAGTATTTCCTAAATCTTGAAGGTGACGACAAAAAGTTTTTTTGTTCCAACCGACAGATTTAATCAGTTTATCACTGCTAATCAATCCAACAATGTAGCATGTCGAACCCACAGCCGGTATAAAAAAAGTGGGCGTAGCCGTTTGTGGACTATTTTGAAGCCTCCAGTTTGCCATTTTTGCCGTCACCATCTTGTTTTCTGGAACCAGACTTGACCATATTTGGATGTGAGGGCGGAGCTAGCCAGTTAGCAAGGTGCACCTGTAATTCACATTAACTGTGATATTAGCTTGGATGCAAATTTTGGCTAGCGACAAACAGGCTTAAAACAAAATGTACTCACTGAAAAATGAGCAGCCGACTCCTGATAACCTTTTTAGCAGCGCTGGTTAAATGTACACAGAGCAGCGGATACGAGTTGCCTCTAGCCTGATTGACGGTCACTACTACTAGCAATAATACTACAAACAACAGGTAGTTAACCACAGTAAAAGTACTAGTTAGCAACAGCAATAGTACCACTAACAGTTGGCAGTTAACCACTGCAAAAGTACTAGTTAGCATCAGCAATAGTACCACTAACAGTTGGTAGTTAACCACAGTAAAAGTACTAGTTAGCAACAGCAAGAGTACCACTAACAGTTGGTAGTTAACCACAGTAAAAGTACTAGTTAGCAACAACAAAGGTACCACTAACAGTTGGTAGTTAACCACAGTAAAAGTACTAGTTAGCAACAGCAATAGTACCACTTACAGTTGGTAGTTAACCACAGTAAAAGTACTAGTTAGCAACAGCAATAGTACCACTAACAGTTGGTAGTTAACCACAGTAAAAGTACTAGTTAGCAACAGCAAGAGTACCACTAACAGTTGGTAGTTAACCACAGTAAAAGTACTAGTTAGCAACAACAAAGGTACCACTAACAGTTGGTAGTTAACCACAGTAAAAGTACTAGTTAGCAACAGCAATAGTACCACTTACAGTTGGTAGTTAACCACAGTAAAAGTACTAGTTAGCAACAGCAATAGTACCACTAACAGTTGGTAGTTAACCACAGTAAAAGTACTAGTTAGCAACAGCAACAGTACCACTAACAGTTGGTAGTTAACCACAGTAAAAGTACTTGTTAGCAACAGCAATAGTACTACTAACAGTTGATAGTTAACCACAGTAAAAGTACTAGTTAGCAACAGCAATACTAGTTAGCAACAGCAATAGTACCACTAACAGTTGGTAGTTAACCACAGTAAAAGTACTAGTTAGCAACAGCAATACTAGTTAGCAACAGCAATAGTACCAATAACAGTTGGTTGTTAACCACAGTAAAAGTACTAATTAGCAACAGCAATACTAGTTAGCAACAGCAACAGTACCACTAACAGCTGGTAGTTAACCACAGTAAAAGTACTAGTTAGCAACAGCAACAGTACCACTAACAGTTGGTAGTTAACCACAGTAAAAGTACTTGTTAGCAACAGCAATAGTACTACTAACAGTTGATAGTTAACCACAGTAAAAGTACTAGTTAGCAACAGCAATACTAGTTAGCAACAGCAATAGTACCACTAACAGTTGGTAGTTAACCACAGTAAAAGTACTAATTAGCAACAGCAATACTAGTTAGCAACAGCAACAGTACCACTAACAGTTGGTAGTTAACCACAGTAAAAGTACTAGTTAGCAACAGCAACAGTACCACTAACAGTTGGTAGTTAACCACAGTAAAAGTACTTGTTAGCAACAGCAATAGTACTACTAACAGTTGATAGTTAACCACAGTAAAAGTACTAGTTAGCAACAGCAATACTAGTTAGCAACAGCAATAGTACCACTAACAGTTGGTAGTTAACCACAGTAAAAGTACTTGTTAGCAACAGCAATAGTACTACTAACAGTTGATAGTTACACACATAGTTCTATTATTCTTTTATAATTTGCATATTGTTCCATAGGTACATGTAAAATGTTCCCTGTCAGGAATTAGGAGTGAATGTAAATGCTCTATATTTGTATAGCGCCTTTCTAGTCTTTTCGACCACTCAAAGCGCTTTTACACTACATCTGCATTCACCAGTCATACACATTCATACACTGAGCCTAAGTGCTCAAACGGAAACTAACATTCACACTCATTCACTCATTCACTCATTGCCAGGGTAAATTGGGGTTCAGTATCACTTCGACCCGCCGACCTTCCGATTAACGGCCAACCCGCTCTACCTCCTGAGCCACAGCCGCCCCTATATATTTTCACATTTATTTATGTCAACTGTATGTTTATATCTAGCACCTAATCACCCTAGAAAATTCCTTGCACCTGTAAAATACTTCTTGGCTATAAACCTCTGTCTGCTTGTGATTCTGATGCAATGCTGAGAAAACAGAAAAGAAAAACTCCCTTCCAGAAGACCCGGTCCGATCCGGTCCGGGTCTTCGGGGCTCTCCTCCCTCCCTGAGAGTCCAAGTGGCTGCAGCCTGCAGCAGCTCTCACTCAGCTCCCATTGAACAGCAGTGGACACATTCACAGCTACTGGAACAGTTGTTGTTGTTGTCGTTGTTGTTGTTGGAGACTCTGCAGGTATGTTCCACCTGATGCATGCTTTTCATTTTACTGCCTGTTTGTACAAAGTGTTTCCTGGATGGTTTCTGGCCGTGTTGGTTGGTACAGTGAGGAGTGAATGGACAGCTGTGAAGTTCACAAAGGGAAACGTGCTGCCTTCACTTCATTTCATCATTTTTCAGCCAAATCTGCAGGACAACCTTTGCTGTAACCTTAATCTTGTTGTTGTTGTCGTTGTTCCGGGTGGATACACAGTGTGAAGAGTTTCTGAACTGAACATCGAGACGTTGTTTGTTGACGTTTTAGGGCTTTAAAGTGAAAGTCTGAGAGAAGCAGTGAAAGTGGATTTAATGTTCAATGGGCGCTCTTATTGTGGAGGGTGAGGCACTGAAGGAATGTGATTGGCTCAGAGCAGCAGACAGGGGTGTGTGTTTGCACAGTTCGTGTGGGTTTATGTTGTTTCTTTGTTTAATTATTTAATGTTTATACAATAAAAATGATCAAAGAACAGCCTCATATGGGTCGGATGTAGTCCCGGGTCAGCTTCACTCAGAGGCCACAGTGGGGCAGGAAACTGGTCATACTTGAAACCTCCATGTTTGTGTTTGTCTCAACATGACCAAGTCCCCGAGCACAAAGCAGCTCAAAATGCAAAATTCCCCCAGTTTGGTGTGGAAGAACTGGACCGGCCAGAGTCCTGTCCTCGCCCCCCCCTCCTCAGGGTGAACATGAAGTAGAAGCTGAAACTATTAGTCGGTTCGTTGAAACTGTTTCGGTGCAGTTCCAGCTTCTCTAACGTGAGGATCTTCTTGGTCGTGTATGACTTTAAACTTAAGATTTGAAGGTTTTCGACTGTTAGTCGGATCAAACAAGGACTCTGAAGACGTCTAAACTAAACTAAAATTAGCATTTTTCAATAATGATCTGGAGTCTCAACAGGAGCAACATGTGGGAGAAAGTCGTTTAGGCCATTTAGTGTATTTCTATGTATTATCCTTAGTTTATGTGTTGATACAGTGTTTCTGAGTAACTCTGGCTGTTCTGAGTCACTGATTTAACAGGAAACCTTGAACGGTGGTGGGGGGGTCATAATGTTTCATCACGTTGCCACAGTGACAGTTCACCAATTAAAATGTTGTAATAATCATCAGTATTAGCAGACACACTGCGATAAAGAAACAATTGATTGAACAGTTGAAGCCATCTGTTGCACTCATTTAAATCCTTACTGCACAGACACACACACACATACATACACACACACACACACACACGCACATACACACACACACACACACACACACACACGCGCACACACACACACACACACACACACACACACACGGCGGCCTGACTGTAAATGACAGCACAGCCGGGGTGAGTCACCGTGATTTCACTCAGATCTGTGTAACACAGATCAGGTCTGACCGTCAACAGTTAATCCAGAACTTTTCCCAGCAGCCACTGCTCCAGTCATGTTGTATCGGGGCGCAGGACGTCTTTGGTACAGACCGAAACACGTCTGTTAGTGATCTTCCCCTGAGTATTTACCCCATTGATGCCCTAACAGCTCTTACTAGTATCTGTTGTCCCTTGTAGATCTTTTACGGTACTGATGCTGTTGTTCGTGAAATGCAAGTTGCTGGGGAAAAAAGCGCCACATGAGGAAATGTAAATGTCTGTGGTCAGTAGTTATCTTCTTCACGTGTTCTTTAATCTGTCACTTCCAGATTTAAAACTTCAGGTTGTATAGTTTTGGAAAAGTTCTTGTGAATGAAAAACAAGTATTGTTTTGGAAGCTCAGGTGTCGCCTCAGATCTGCAGTGAGCTCACACAGACTCCTGCAGCTGCTGCTCATCTCTGCTGCAGCCAGCAGGTGCATTGTGGGTAATGTAGGCGCTGGGTTTTAACAACGTGCTTTTATCGAATCCCGTCTGGACTACTGCAATGCACGAGGTGTTAAACAATCCTCTGTCTTTCGCCAACAGTTACACACATCACACCTGTTCTGGTCCAGTCTTAGAAACTACATTTTAAAGATCTTATTGTTTTGTTTTTAAATCTCTAAATGAGTTGGCACCCCCGTTACATCTCAGACCTCTTACAGGTCTGTACCCCTTTGAGAGAGCTGAGGTCAGAGTCGTTTGAAGAGGAGACACCAGCCAGCATTCTCAATAAAACTCTATAGAGACAGCCTGTAACGCCAAAAGACGGCGATTGTCCCGCCTGTTCCGCTAGATAGTCAATCGTCTGCTTTTAACAGTCGAGCTGGGACATTTTAAGCTAATCATGTGCTTCCTCCTGAAGTAAGCGTCTACCACGCAAGTGCAGTGGAAGTATAACCTGTTGTCACTTCACAAAATCACTTTTTAAACCTTATTTTGGGGCAAAGTCATCAAACCTTTTCAGATTTTCCTGCTGATTCTCTACATGCAGGTTTTATGTTCAGGTGACCGGTGAAAGTGCAGTTAGGCTCCCTGCCCGTTCATTTAGAGCGAGACCTGATCCTGTTAGTCCCAGATAACCTGCAGGCCTCCTATAAGGACTTTGCTTAGGTCCACTGATGAACTGCGGCTGGTCGCCCCTAAAACCAGGCTAAAAACCAGGGGCCCCAAACTGTGGAATGAGCTGCCTCCACAGGTCAAAATGGCCCCCCACCCTCGAGACTTTTAAAACTGAAAACTGACTTTTATTCCCTGGTTTTTGATCCAGCGTGAGAGCTGTGTGGTCCTCTGTTGTGGACTATGAATTGCTCCTGAACCACTGGTGTGTGTTTTATGTTTTATTCCTCGTGAGCACTTTGTACACCTTGTTTTTAAAATGTGCTTTAGGAATAAAAACTGATTTGACTGAAAGGAAGAAGAATGCGGAATAAAAAAATGATCTCTGCATGGACTTCGATCTTTATAGTTTAACTGTCCATCATGAGTTGTAGAAATGTTTTGATAAATCAGTAGAGGAACTCCTTTAAGGCACCTCACTTTGGGAACCTCCACCGCCTCCAGCTGCTGGGATAACTTCACCCTTTAAAGGATTTAGGTTTCGTCATCTGTTGCGACACTGTCAGAGCATCAGCACTGACTGAACTGGATCCGCTCTGTGTTTCAGATCCAGGCAGACAGACATGTTACCAAAGGCTCGTCTGGGGAAGCGTTCCCCTTTCGGGGCGTTGGTGAGCTCCACCTGCCCGGCGGCGGGAACCCAGACCGGTCAGGAGACCGGCGAGACAGCGGCAGGACAGCAGGCCTGCAGCAGAGTCAAAGGTCATCCCGGGCTGAAGGTGAGATCATGGTTGCCGGCGTTCAAGAAACCTCGAGCCACGTTAACGCTGTCTCATCCGCCAGGCGTTCACGTTTTTCTGTTTTAGAAAATGTACAGAAAATCCCACTTTCATGTTTCACTTCTACTTCAGTGGAAGAGCGATGAAAAAACCCACCTCCCCTGTGGGGAAAAACCACCGTCAGGGAGACGTTCAGGGAAAGTTTGTCTTGATTGACAGGTGTCTCAGCCTATCACAGCTGTTCACTCTCTCTCTCTCTCTCTCTCTCTCTCTCTCTCTCTCTCTCTCTCTCTCTCTCTCTCTCTCTCAGGTGTATTTTCAGTGTGGAGGAGGAGGTGAAGCTCCAGGTGTGGTGGATCAGCTGGACCTCATGCAGACTGACGTTTCTGTCTGGTCTTCATCTCATCCTTCCTCCTCCTCCTCAGCGCCTCCGCCCCGCAGCAGATCCGTCTCCTCCTGCATCGACGTCCCCAGAAGGTCAGACGCCGTCTCCCCGTCTCTGTTTGTCTCCACATGTCTGTGCCTATTCTCCATTAAATAACCTTCTCCCTCCTGCAGTCAGAGGAGTCCGGAGGAGGTGGAGATGGACGAGCTGATGGCAGCGATGGTTCTCAGCAGTTTGTCCTGCAGTCCTCTGCTGCACAGCCCCGCCCACCCAGACGCAACAGGTACTACAACAACAAACCACCATCTCAGTAACAATAATCAAAAACAACAAGAGTCCAAAGTTTCTACTGAGACAAAGTTGTGAAGTATTAGAGGCTAATTACCTGCACCTTGTTTTCCCATGTAACTAATGGGGCAGCAAGTGTGGCAGCAGTGAAACAAAGTACGTCTACTAAAGAGCTTGTTTTTACGTCATACGTCGTGTTTGTGCTTCAGCTCCTCCGATGGACTGTGGAGGCGGCGAGCTCTCCGACAGCGGCAGCAGCGGCTACTGGAGCGTCGGCCATAGAAACAGAAGCCCCACCCCCTCTCCACCAATTGCAGAGCCCAACGCCAGCCCGGCCGTGCCCCCTGACGAAGGACTGGACATGGAACTGGAGCAGGTGCTGTTCGACGAGCCGGCGCCACGTAAACGCAGGGTGAGCAGGGTTTTATTTATTTTTTATGGCTGTCGCAGGACAAATGAAAACAGCGGCACAGCAGAGCGCTGACGGTGTGTTTCCTCCTGCAGAACTCAGTGAAGGCGGCTTACAGGTGTCTGTGGCCGAGCTGCGGGAAAGTGCTGACGTCCGTGGTGGGAATAAAACGTCACATCCGGACAACACACCTGTGGTGAGACTCACCTGTCGTTCTCTCTGTTGAACCTTAAATATGGAAGCTCGATCCAGACAGGAACATGGTTAACAGTTAACATATGGTTGTGAGAATTATTCATAATATTTTATTTCTCGTCTTAAGGCTTTATTTTTCTGGCATGGCTGGCCTTCCATATATTTGATAAATAAAGTATGATTGAATGAGTTTGTACTGGAATCAACCCTGAAATTATCATCTATGGAAGCTCATCTCTGCCCCAGAAACAAAAAAACAGGTGAAAAGTTATGAATGAAAAAATAAAATATCTAAAAATTCTTTGATTATGAAGTCAATTTATAAATTTATTATGTCAACGTTATGAGATATGAGGGGTGCTCTTATCATTTTGACGCCAAAATGAAGTCAAGATTTTTAATTCTGTCTTTAGTATCTAATTAAAATAGTAAATAATCATTTGATCAATCAGTCGTCAGTAAACTGAAGATATTTGGGGTTGTGGACTGTTGGTCGGATAAAACTGTGATTAGATATTAATTATTATTAATTAATAATTATTCAGTATACAGAGAACATAGGCAGAGAAATCAATGATTAATTAGTAATTGTTAGTTGCATGTCCATTTTTCTCTATTCAACATTTTCATTCACATGACTAGCATCATTATTAAAAAATAATTTATTATTATGATGATAAGTTATTAAGTTAAGTTTTGATGTGCCTGAATACCTGTAATCTCCTCGCAGCCGCAGCAGCGAACACGAGCGTTGTTCCCGCAGCGAGGAGGATTTTTACTACACCGAGATTAACCGACGGCAGCAGCAGTCTCCTCCCCCTCCGCTCCTCTGTGACCCCGCCCCCCTCTACTCCTCCCCCGCCTCGTCCCCGTCCTCCTCCTCACCTCCCAGCCCTCCCCCTCCCTCCCCTCCATCTCCCCCCCTTCAAGCCTATGCCGCTCTGAGTCGCTCCGCCCCCTCCTCCACCATCAGCCTACTGCAGGTCCAATCAGAGCACTCCTACCAGGTAAGGCGGGGCTTATCCAGCGTGATTGACAGTTATATGTGTGACTGGAATGTAAGACATGTGATTAGATTTTTTTTAAACACAAACTCGACACAATTATATTATTTACTTGACTTTTAAAACACAATATAAATATAATATTCATAAATTCATAAAAATGATTGTATAAACTGAGAAGTGATTTATACAAAACTGATTATCTATTCGTTGGAACCACAGTCGATATAAAAGAAGGGGACGTAGCCGCCGTGACGCCACCTATTGGTTTGTGGACCGACGTTTTGAAGCCTCGAGTTTGCCATTTTGGCCGTCACCATCTTGGTTTTTGGAACCAAACGTGGACGTGACCATATTTGGAGGAGAGGGTGGAGCTAGTTAGCTTGGTTTGCAAGGTGCACCTGTAATTTACGTTAACTGTGATATTAGCTGGGATGCTAATTTTGGCTAGCGACAAACAGGCTTAAACAAAACGTACTTACTGAAAAATGAGCAGCTGACTCCTGATAAGCTTTTTCAGAGGCGCTGGTTGAATGTACACAGAGCAGCGGATACAAGTCGCCTCTATCCTGATTGGCCCGTCCTAAAGCCTCCCCTGCTTCCTGGTCTCTGTTCCTCTAAATGGGACCATAATTTGCTAAATGAACATCATGCTGTGTTGAAGAAGACTTGAAACTAGCAACTGAGACCATAAACTCATCAGGAAAGTGTTTACTGAGGGAATAAATCAGTAGTAGAAACATTTTCTCACAGACTTCTATACAATCACACTTCTTTCTGCAGCCGCTGGAGTCGCCCCCTGCTGGCTGCTGGAGAGGACGCAGGTTTAAGGCGCTTCAGCACTGGCGTCACTTATCAGACCCGATCATCACTGCCCTGTCTCACCTGTACACCCTTAAATTTAGTAAACTTTTACCAGTCACGGACAATATGCAAAATAAAACAGATAATGATAATGGACGACATGGTGCCTGGCAATACAGCTGCTGTTGTCTTGTGTTATTGATAAAAACAAAAACAATTTTTAAATATAAAAATGTGTATGTAATATTTATTTTGCTGTTTTTTTAGGCTCCACCTCCCGGTCATGTGATATCAGCAGCACCTGCGAACACACCCTCCTGTCCTCCGGTGGCCCCGCCCACCAGCTGCCTCAAACAGGTACTTTTTTCTACAAATATTTGACAGCTGAGGTTACTTTTCAAATTAAAGGTTCAGTGTGTTAGTTTTAGTGGCACCTAGTGGTAATAATTCTTTCTAAGGTATTAAAAACCTAACCCTAACCCTAACGGTTCATTATAGATATTTTATTGCATTTCTGTCAATAGATCCTCCTAAATATAATACAGACACTGAACTTTAATACTAAAAAGTTTATCAGTGGTTTCCACTTTTTGGTTTGTGACCTAAAAACCTATTATCTATATAATCATATATTTAACTGTGCCTCCTTGTCACGTTTGTTATCAGTTCCACCAAACAGACATTTAAACTTTAAACCCCTCAATAAAATAGTTAGACTCAGGGAATGTTTTGCCATCCTACAGTATGTGTACAGTATGTACATTGAGTACTGCTGTTCAGTGAGCTTGTTTGGGGCTAAATTTATTTTTATTTTTAGTATATATATTCTTTTAGCAGATTTACCAGTTGTCCCTAATTAACAGAGAAATTACAACAATTACTGTTATTGTTGTTGAGAGCCCTGTAACTTTATTTGAAGTAGTTAAATTTCCTGTCGTTCTCTCTGTTAAACCTTGGAAATGGAAGCTCGATCCAGACAGGAACATAAAAGAATAGTTAACATATATATATATATATATATATATATATGTTAACTATTCTTCACAACTATATGTTAACTATTCTTTTATGTTCCTGTCTGGATCGAGCTTCCATATTTTATTTAAGGCTTTATTCTTCTGGCATGACTGGGCTTCCATACGTTTGATAAATAAAGGATGATTGAATGAGTTTGTACTGGAATCAAACTTGAATTAATTATCTGTGGAAGCTCATCTCTGCCCCCGAAACAAAAAACAGGTGAAAAGTTACGAATGATATGAAATTAAATTATTGACTATGAAGTAAATTTATTAATTTATAATGTCAACGTTATGAGATATGAGGGGTGCTCATCATTTTAACAAGTCAAGATTTTTAATTCTGTCTTTAGTATTAGTACTAATTGAAATAGTAAATAACTGTTTGATCAGTCAGTCGTCAGTAAACTGAATATATTTGGGGTTGTGGACTGTTGGTTGGACAAAACTGTGATTAGATATATTTTTATATTGTATTTTACTTTTTATACTTAAATACATGTTGTTGATAATACTTTGCTACTTTAACTTAAGACTCACCTGTCGGTCTTAAATATGGAAGCTCGATCCACACAGGAACATAAAAGAATAGTTTACAGAAGTGCTTGTTTCACCGTCCGGCTCTTAGTTTCGGCTTCACAGCAGCACGTTTCCTGTCTGGTTCGGTGTTTCCAGCACAGCAGGGGGGGCAGCCCTGTATGTAGAAGCAGGAGATAATACCCGGTGGTGTTGTGGTGCTCTGGTGTGGGTCGGCGTATAAAAAACAAAGTGTAAAGAAAACACTGCAGGTATTCACACGTCATCTGTGGACTGAAACTCTGCAGGTTCTCTGTAACTCGGTGGGACTTTATTTATTGTTTGCATCTCTGGGTCGAACAGAAAGTTTTGGACTTCCCCCTGAGAATATTAGATTTTAGATTTCTTACTAACTACGGTGCCCGTAAAGCCACCCGGTTGATTAACAGGCGTACTTCTCTAATTCAGTTATGTTTTCAGTCTGGATTCTGTACAGCAGCCTTTTGTTTATTTGCTCCGCCAGCCCAGAGAAACCTGTTAAAACTGGTTTCATACTGGAGGGGGGGTGAGGACTGAGCGTGTGCTCCTCCCTGGTGGTTTTCATTCAGAAGGAGAATCCCCCCATTCGGATGGTTTGTGGTCACATTTTCCATCAATCTGCCACAGAGCAGCGTCGCCACCTGCAGGCCGTCGGAGGCCACTGCAGAGCGTTTTTAGGCCAGAGAGGACGAAACACAGAGGACACAAACACCCACAGCAGAGACAGACACACAAAATGATGACGAGGAAGAGGAACAGCAGTCTGTTTCTGCTCCCTGAAATAATAAAAATATCAGAAAGCAGCGAAGAAGAAGAGCGAGGAGACGAGAACAGGCTGCAACACAAACCTGCGCTGTTCGTCTTTTTCACTGACTCCTCTTCTTCTTCTTTCTCCTCCTCAGGGTTTGGCTTTTCGAGTGCGTTCGGTCAGCGTAGGAGAGCAGTGGCTGCAGCATCAGAGCGCCCCCTGCAGGTCTGTATTTACATGCACACACACAGCAACCAGCTAAGAGCTCACAAACACAAATTAAACCCTCGTATCAGTGGTGGAAAGAAACATTTACTGACAACTACGGTCATTAAGTATTTCTACTTCTACTCCACCACATCTCAGACAGAAATACTGCACTTTTTACTGCCCTACATTTAACCGACAGCTTTAGTTACTTTAAGAATTAAGATTTTTGCACAGAAAACATACAAAGAGTTTATAAATTCTGATGTTTTCTTATTTATTAAACGTCCAACAGAAAATAAACTATTGTGGAGTAGAAACCTCTTATGTTGCGTCCCGGCTCGCTCAGTGTGGAGGACGCGTGAGCATGAACCCAGATGGATTTGGCAAGGTTGAATTGTTAATGATTAAAACCGAGAGGGTTTGAGTCAACTGAGAAGTGTAATATAATTTCCCACTGCAGACATAATACACGGCAGAGGTGAGTGTGAAGCGATGTGGTTTAAAGAGTTTCTTTCTCATAAATGTTTGACAATAATTTCAGAGAATATTAAAGTTTTTACCATTGTAATCTGGGAAATTCTGAGTTTTTTCGTGGATTAGTACCCCTCTATATAATATATATATATTGTTATGGTTTTATTGTCCAGCCCTAGTTACACATTAAAGAAGATAATTACACATGTACTCAGCGCACTGCCAACAAGCTCAGCCTGGATTTGTTGGCCACAACAGTGTTAGATTTTGCCGTTAACGTTTATTTACTCTCCTCGTGTCCTGACACCATCATCGGGCATTCTGGGAAAAATATAGAGCACGCGCCGTTATGAATACACTCTGCCTGCACAGCTGAACACGCTCCTTTTATGCAAATGCGACACACCGACTCCACTGACATCGTAGCGGTCAGAGTTTCCTTGGTAACCCCGAGTTAAACCTGAGTACCTCCCTACACGGTTCCGGCCTCGGGAGAGTCACACCTCATGTTCACAGTGGTCTCCGTGTTTCTTTTTCTTCTTCTCTCTGTCAGGAGGATTCGCGGTGAAGCCAAGAAGTGCAGGAAGGTTTACGGCATCGAGCACAGAGACCAGTGGTGTACGGCGTGCCGCTGGAAGAAAGCCTGCCAACGCTTCCTCGACTGAACACAGGAAGAACGCGGACTGAAAGACGGGCTGCGAACTTCAGCCTCACCTGGTGGATGTTTTCTATTTTCTTACGTCTGAAACCAGAAATATTTTTTGTTTTTGTACTCTTTCTACTTTTTGTTGTTTTGAATGTATTTTGTAGATGTTGTTTCCTGTCGGTGCTTTTTTTCATGACCATGTTGAGGCAGCTATGATGTGACCTTTGACCTTGACGCAGCCGAGAGAGTTCGTTTTTGCGTCCGGCCCGACTCTCCTCAGCTGTTCTTAACAAAAACAAAAAAAAGAAAAAAAAAAAGACAGCATTCGCTAACCGTGGAAACTCTCAGTGCTGACTGAACACCAGCTTTTATTCAGATTTATGGATCAAAACACGAGTCACCTTTTGCTACGGGAGCCCAACAAGGACAAAAAGACTGTGTTCCTGTTTAAGAGTTGATTCAAAAAGAAGTTTCTCATCTTCCTGTATGGCTGTAACTCCTCCGACAAGCTGCAGGTCGTTTGTTATCAGCATAAATGATGAGAACGAAATGATTCATGAAAGTGTCTCCCAGTATTTCTTCACCTGAACAATATGAGGCACCTTAGTGACTAAAACGTTTTTTTAATCTGTAAATAAAAAGGAAGCAGGTGCTGGTTTACTGAGCACATCTGGAAAATTACATCCACCTGTTTGATTTAAGCTCGTCCAGCGTCTCGTCGGTGCTGTTCAGGCCTCTGGATTAACCCACATTTTGAATCAACACGTTCTCACTCCCGACTCGTCACATATTGACGCTTGGTCGAGGCCCTTAGGCGTCACTTTTTAACGCCCTGGGTGCCCCGTTAGCATCATTTCTAGACGTTTAAGTCTCCGCGGTCAAGTTAGCAATGCTTAGCAACAACAAATATGCAACGTCCGGTTAGACTTTGAAAATAAAACACTAGCATTACGAAACATTGCTATTTTGAAACGGCGCGTTATTAAAGTTGTGAAACGTTTCAGTTTGGTTCGGTTTAGGCACAAAAACTACTTGGTTAAGGTTCGAAAAGATCATGGTTTTGATTAAAATAACTACGAACGTCAGTAAATTGCATTTACGTGTTGTAAACGCAATTTACGTAACTTAAATAAAAATATTTAATGTTGACTTTTTGTTTCACACGGGACAAAGTCTGGGTTCTGGCCCTCCATCCACCTCAAGCTCCTCCTCACTCAGTCTTTTCTGTTAAATATCATTTACCTGCCTTTACCGTCAAAAGCTGAAGCTACGGGGCTTCCCCACACTGCGCTGAAGTATGGCGCTACAGGGATCCACAGTGCGTTACAAACTGACGCCGATGGGTCTGGACCATGCGTCCATATGTGACGAGTAGAGAATGGGTTGGTTGAATATAAAGAACTGACTCAGGAGCAGATTTGAATCCCGACACACCAAACTGGCCGCCAGGCGCTGCTGAGTCTCTCTTTTTTCTTTATTGCGGTGTTTACCGCATTTTGCACTAATCGTCCCTTATTGGAGGCCGAGCTAACGATTCAGTTCTGGTGTGTTCTACGGAAGCCCTAAGAGGCCATTCATTCATACATTCTTTTTACTCCATTTAAGATAATGGGATGATTTTCTCGAGATAACGTATCTTTGTTTTCCCGTGATAGTGACATCTGAGATCTCGAGAAAACACGACGACGGTCTAGTAGAGGGTTAGCTGAGCTGGTAAAGCACGAGACTCTCAATGTAAGGGTTGTGTGTTTACGACATTTACGTCACAAGAACCTTTGAGGTGTAATTTGTGTCTCCAGAAATACGAGGGATCCCATCCGGACCCTCGTCTGAGGTCGTGTTTCTGCACGAACACAAAACCAGGATCTTTTGTGGAACCTGAACTCAGAGCTGAGGGTCTGAACAGAACCAGAACACAGTCTCATGATGCTGAAGTTGTAAGATCTGGGCCTGTATTTATCAAGTATCTCAGAATTACTCAAAAGAACACGGCTAAGAACTGACGTAAGAGTAAAAAAAGTCTTGTCTCAAAGCTGCGCGCAAAGTTGGTCATCAAGCCTCATAGTCCTAAATTGAGTGAAGTGTAGGACAAAATCTTAAGTGTCAGTCTGACGGCTGATTCACGACACTTTGCTGTGGCGCAAACAGGATTTTGGATGACGCTGTATGCAAGGACCAATCACTGAAGAGATTTCCTTATTTAAGAATATTCTCAGATAAATTCACTCTGAATGGTGAAACTTTACGTTCAAGTTTACGTTCAACACACATTTGACCATTAAGAATTTTTAAGAGAATATATTATGCACATAGGCACATTGGAAAAAAGTTCATCTTTACATGAGCGCCATCAATTAATTGTGTGTTGTCAAATAATTCAGAAACATTCTTCCTCTGTCCAATACAGGCCCCTGCTCCTCACGTCCTGAGAGGCCTCTGGAGCTTCTTAAATACCTGGCAGAGGGAGAGAGATTCTCAGCTTTAAGACATTTGATAACTTGCTTTTATTCTGAAGTTTGAAAGTCGGAGTAAATTTTAAAGTTCTCAGCACTTTAGACTAAAATGGCACTTTGAGAAACTTGATAAATACCGGCCCAGATATTTTGGTGGGAAACTAATGAAATAAGATGTCAGAGAACATTTTTCCTCATCATGTTAAAAGAAATACAGGATCCTTCTGCTTCCTCCTGAACATTTTGTGGCTGCAGATTAGTTGTATATAAATGTTCTACCAACCGTTTCTGCATCGATGTATTTAAAGGGTCATTTCAGCACTTTTAACATCGTATGAGATGATCCGTTATTGATTATCGTTATCGTGGTTCTGTGTTAAATGTCCTCGTCCTCCTAGGGACTAAAAGCCAGGATTGTTCCTCCCACCTAAAGAAGTGCAGCACTAAATCACTGGGTTTATTTTGTTAAATGAAAGTTCGTCTTTTCAGCAACTTTCCTCCCATCAGTCACCTCTTCAGTCCCAGTTCAACAGTGGCTGTTTAAACAGAGAATGACAATAATAATAATAACATCTGTAATAATGTAAAATATGCCCTTCTAAGTGCTTACAGCTACATTTTAGTGTTATAAACCATTTACCATGTTTAGATTCAGCTTTAAGGCGGCAAACAGGTCACCGTTACAGACTGTGGTGCGTTCAAGTGCAACATTAAGACGTTTGACAGATCCACACCGATTTTCTATTTTAAAGTCATCTCAGCTGCGACCTATCAGACTGTAAATATGCTGCTCTTTTTGATCAGCCCTTTCTTCACGTGAGCTTCCGTTCAGTTGTTCATGTTTGGAAACAGAAGCCATTTTCTCATGCAGTATTCATCAAGAGGTCTGTTTACCTTCCAGTATCAATACACAGTGTTTTACACTGAAATATAAATGTCTAATTAAATATCTTCTTCTCCCTGGTGTTTAAATATATATATACACAGATATATAATACCAGGCCTGTGTATCTGATAACTCTTCCTGAAAGCTTTTTAAATGTCCAGATTTCTTTGCGGTAAAGTGAGACAAAGACTCTTCTGTATTTATATTCTCTATGTGTCCTGTTTGTTTATGAGCAAGTCAATGATTTGTTTGTAATCGTATCACTTCTCAGATGCACTCTTTTATACACGATCCTGATGTTTGAATAAACTGTAAAAGTTGATTCTGGCTCAGTTTGTTTCATCACGTCTCCGATCACCTTTAGCTGCCAGACGGCATTTTTCAAACTGCTCATTCATTTTAAACAGTATATTATATATATATATATATTTAGTATATTTGTATATATAAAATGGGTGAGTTCAAACAAACGGTGGTCTGTCCTGAGTTGTTTTAACACATCTAGATGTGAATGCCAGGAAATGAGAGCTGAAATTCTGAACTCATGTCTCATTCTCATCTCTTGATCTTAAATCTTAAACCCAAATGACGTCAGTGAACAACAAAAACAAAGTTACCGTTCCAATACTTTTGGAGGGGACTGTATGTAAACACACGTTCTCCCCACTGTAGATCTATCTACACTGGGGAGAACAAGTATTTGATACACTGCTGATTTTGCAGGTTTTCCTACTTACAAAGGAGAAGTTGGAGTCTGTTTGACTGAGTGTGTGGACAGGTGTCTTTTATACAGGTAACGAGTTCAAACAGGTGCAGTTAATACAGGTAATGAGTGGAGAACAGGAGTTCCTACAATGTGATTTTCTGGATTTTTGTTTTAGATTCCATCCCTCACAGTTGAAGTGAACCTATGATAAAAATTACAGACCTCTACATGCTCTGTAAGTAGGAAAACCTGCAAAATCAGCAGTGTATCAAATACTTGTTCTCCCCGCTGTATACACACACACACACACACACGGGAACTATTTAGAGTTGAAAAATAACAAGCTTCTGCTTCATCCTGTTCCTTTTCAGACATTTTGCACATTGTTTAACAATTTATAGATATTTTTCCATTTGTAAGTCGTAACACACTTATTTTCATTTTAATATTGTTTGAAAGAAAAATAGACAAACGCCCCCCCAAAAAAGCTGATAGGATAAATGAAATCCTGACTTTGAAGAAGCTGGAGCATCTTTTTATTTTAGTCAAACATTTCCTGTGTCACAAAGCACAGAGCCGCTCTCTGTTTTAAATAAAGTTTTTATTAAAGGTGATCCAGCTCAATAATAACAGCAAACTGAACACAAGCCTCCTGTAAACTGATGATAATAATAAAAAAACAAAAACTGCTGCAGGTACAGGAACACACACACAAACACACACACGCACACACACACACACACACACACGCACACACACCTCGGCTGTGACTCTGCTGTAATAAATTATATGTACAGTCCAGGTCCATCTGAGCCTCCGCCTGACACACAGGAGGAGAGAGTCGTCACTCTGCAGCGCCGGGCCGGAGTCTGCAGAGAGGAAGCACAAATAATAAAGTTAAACACAGAGAACAACAACAACAACAAAACAAGCTCCTTCAGGCCTGATCACTGATGTGGAACATTATAATAATAAAAATTAGCGATGCACCGAATGTTCGGTCAGCGAAATTAATAGCAACAGAGCACTTTTGGTGTTCGGCCTAACGAGTCAAAAGACTGATTTAATATTACCGAACAACTTATGTAGGCAGTGAGGAAGCATTTTAAAGTGTCCGAGCCGTTTGCAGACGCTGTTCTGCTGAACTGTCTCCCAGCACATCCGCTCCATCTGTGGCTGACTTCTTAGAAAAGAGCCGCTTTGAGTGTTTCTGTCTCCTGTCTGTGAGAAGGAGATTAAGCTAGCAGCACCTACATTTTGAGTGCACACGTACTCAAGCCTTTACGGTAAGTGAAGCGGCCCAGAGCGAGCTGACAGGCAGGTTAGAGACTTTATCCTGTCAGTTTGTCTCTTTAGTATGAAGAGAGGTTGTGAAGACGAGAACCACATACTGCATTATTTATCAAACCGGGTCGGACTGGATGGATTTAACGCGACGAGGAAACACATGTGACAACGTCCGGTTTTCAAAATAAGGCGTCTGTACAGGATGGAAATAAGATTTTATGTTAATAGTTCTGAATGTTCTGCCTCAGATTTGTGAAGTGATCCACTTGTTTGGCATCAAGTGTTCGTTCTGACCAGAAAGAAAAGTTTAACCCCACAATTAACTTTCACTCAGGAGCAAAAATCAGCCTTTAAACTGGAAAGAAATGATGATTTGACATTTATCGTGATAATTATCGCTATCGAATGGTGTGAAGTGTTTTATCGCCTGGCCCTGAGAGATGACATGAAATAACACAGTGGATGATAAAACACGACAGCAAAGTAAGATGAAAAACAGAAATCACAGTGAAATATAACTTTAAACTACAGAGAAGAAAAGACGAAAGTAAGAACAGTCAAATAAACAGGCGGCTCAGATAAGATCAGGAAATGCTTTCCGATTAGAGCTGCAACAATCAGTCCATCAGTTTTCAACAATTAAATAAATCGCCAACTTCTTGATTATTGATCAATCGTTCAAAATGTCAAATTCTGATTCCAGCTTCTCAAAAACGAATATTTCCTGCTGTCTTTGCTCCTGTGTGACAGTAAACTGAACATATTTGGGTTGTGGTCAAAACAGGACATTTAAGGACGACATCTCGGGTTTTTGGGA